AAAAAAAAAAAAAAAAAAAAAAAAAAAGGTTTAATAATTTTACGTTGATCACCGCCAAAAAAGACAGTTGTTTTTGAACCAGACTATTAAATTAACGGATTAAAAAAACAATACGTAAATGTTATTCAAAGTAAATATTTACTACTAATTTTATACACAAAATAAATGTTACTTTCGTCGAAAAGCAGACACATTATAATTTGGGTCACCCAGCTAGATTGCACCCCAGCAAGGCGCATTAGAGGGTGTCTGGTCATCCATATGGCTGTCGGACATGGGGCAATGTATAATAGATATTTCACCATTAACATTCCATCTATCTCTGTCTTCTGTCAGCTAGCTAGCTTCAAGGGACATTCCTATTACTTAGCCCTGGGGATTTTTCAATTACGAATACATAATTATTATCCTTTAAGCAATATCTTTCTTCATCAATAACTATTTTTTGTATTTTACATTAGTTAATTATTTATTACTGACTGAATTATTTATCGACTACTTCGTTGGTCGAGTGGTCGCAAGGGCGACTGCTGGGCAAGGGGGTCTCGGGTTCGATTCCCGGGTCGGGCGAAGTATTATTAGGTTTAAAAAAAATCTCAGTAGTAGCATGGAGTCTGGAATTGTGCCCGGTATATGGCAATAGGCTCACCGCCTATTACATGCGACCCATCATATAAATAGTGAAAAGTGGGTGTTAGGTACATTGTACAGTGGCATAATGTGCACCTCTGCCTACTCCTAATAAAAGGCGTGATGTTATGTGTAATTATTTATTACTTTGAAAACAGTGTTCATTTCTAGGAGCACTTATTTACATATCGTTCATTGAAATAACGTTCACCATATTAAAGCAGTCAATTGTTTAAAACTTCAAATCATGTTTTTATAATAACTATCGTGAGACATACTAAACTAACTAAAAACGCGGGTTACTAACGTGAATATACTGAGGTAAGCTCTACTAGTTTCGAACCACAGAGGGGTTCTTCCTCATGAGCAGCGTGCGCGGTCGCGGCGATGCCTCGCAGCTCACTGAGCTTTTAGTATTGTATTAGTTTAATAGAACTGACTAATAGAGCTTTTCTCAGTATATTCACGTGAGTACCCCGCGATTTTAGTTAACATCAAATAAAAATTTTTTTAGGAAAATCCAGCTCCAAATATATTTAGAGTTGCGACAGGTAGTCATTTAGCAATATCTACATTAATGACACACACGCATAACACTGTCAAAAGTTAGGTATACTTTCAACTGTAGGTATGTTAGAAACATAAGGTTGAAAATTGAATAACATTTGATCGTTTGGAGTAGCTTGCCATGGTCTTGTTCGTACGGTCATCGGTCACAAGTTCACATACATTGCAATGACCATTATTGCCTACTCTGTGCGGTCTGCAGCGCCTATACACATACGTGTATCTCTTTTGGAAGAATTATAGGACAATTGGTATTGCAGTGCCAAACTTTTGTGAGATTTCTAGTCTACTTCGCAAGTAGGTACCCACAATGTACATACATGGTACCACGGAGAAGCTCATTGCAATAACTGTGTTTAAACATTGTGTGAATGTATGTGGCTGTGACAATTACCGTCACTAACCGTTTTATGATACCCGGGTGACTATTTGATTACCCACACACATTGGAACGTAACCTGTTTTGTACAGTTGTGGTCCACTGGTTGTGGTACAAAATTATCTTTTATGTTTGGTTTAATACTAAAAATAAAATCTTAATTTTTAATAACATTATTAAAAAAAATTACAAACAAACATAAAAACGGTATAGTTTGATAGAGTGGCACTTTCTCCTTAACTTGACTTATCACTATTATCTTATGATTCAGCCACAAACAGAGACGCTCAGCATTACCGCCGCGCGCCGTGTACGCAGGTATATAAGCAAGACGCGCCGCGCACCACATATTTACCGGCGAAACAAGCATCCAACATGGTGTCCGACTTCAAAAAGAAGAAGTTCCTCCACGTGTTCAAATCCTTCTTTGACACCGACGGCAGCGGCAACATCGAGAAGGATGACTTCCTGATGGCCATTGAAAGGATAACCAAGACCAGAGGCTGGAAAGCAGGAGACGAGAAATACAAATTTGTTGAGGAGACTCTATTGAAGATCTGGGATGGCATCCAGAAGGTCGCTGATGAGAACAAGGACGGACAGGTTAGCCAGGACGAGTGGATCGCAATGTGGGAAAAGTATTCCAAGAACCCATCTGAGGCGTTTGAGTGGCAGACCCTGTACTGCAAGTTCGCGTTCACTATTGAAGACGCCAGCAACGACGGGTCCATCGACAGCGAGGAGTTCTCCTCTGTGTACGCTTCCTTCGGCCTGGACAAAGATGAGGCTGTGGCTGCCTTCAAGAAGATGGCTAACGGTAAGTCTGAGGTCTCCTGGGCTGAGTTCCAGGACCTGTGGAAGGAGTACTTCTCATCGGAAGATGTGAACGCACCTGGCAACTACATCTTCGGCAAAACTAGTTTCTAAGTATTTATTCGTTAATTTATGGTTTGTGACAAGTATCGCCTGTATTTGGACTGTTTTGATATCATGTGATCCAATAACTTCGAGTGCATTTATTTATGTAAGTAGCGAATAAACTAAATTATAACATAAACTACACAGTTTTATTTACGTGATTGTGAAAAATAACATCGCTTTTGGATTCAGAGAAATAGGTATTTGACGAATGTCTGGCTTTTTTATAGATTCTGAATTCTGATTTTCAGTTATATCCTGGATTTTAAAATATGATAAAATGCAGTAATAGCCTTGCCTCCCACTGCCTATGACTTATAACAAATAAATATAAAACGACATATTACGTTACACTTCTAATACCTTATCTTCAGTCCCATCATCTTGTGATGCGCCTTCTACTCAGTGCGCTGTAGGTACTGTTTATACAATTGAATTGTAGAAAAAAAATAAGATTTAAGAGCAAGAGATTTGATTATTTACGAGCAGTAGAATAGACTTGACTTTAATGGTATGTATCCTGGTGTATACAGCAGCAGGCTTATGATTTAACTGCGCAGGTCAGCTGTACAGTCAAACTGCACAGTTAGAACGGAAGGTGTGCAGCGTGCCTTAGATTCATGTTCTAGGTTTAACTTATAGAGATCTGTAGCTTGACATTTATTTATACATATCATATCGACAGCCTATAATGCCCACTGCTGAGCAAAACATCTTCTCACTCGGAGAAGATTCGAGGATGCATTGCCACGCTTGCTCAATGCCGGTTGGCGATTTCAAATTTCTAATTAGAAATTATAAGCCTCCTCATGATATTTTCCTTCATCGTTTGTCAGTGGTGTCGGAATAATCTTAGAAAGTACATATAACGCGAAAAAGTCACATTGGTACTTGCCGTTGGTAGGTTTCGAACCCGAACCCTTATGCATGAGAAACCTCCGAAAGTCTTAAACCTCCGGGCCACCACGACATAGAAGGCTATGTAGGTATGTATTAGAGGTACATAATAATATTTTTACATGTCATGAGGCCATTCATAATATGATAAGGTCTATCTTGATAAGAATATTTTGATCATTCTATGTAAACTTATGTTTACATTGCCAGTCTGGTGTTATTGAACTCTGATATTGCGAGTGGGGATCGACACAGTAATGTAGTAATTAAAGGTTTGACTTTTATTGTGACAAGCCCACCACAACCTCTCAAAACCGCTGCAACTCCTATGCACCAGACTCTACAGTACATACAACAATGAAAATACCGGAACACTGAAAGAAAGAATGAAAAATAATTATTTGCCATTAGGCATGATGCACCAAATACACATGCATAAATATTAAGTTGTAAAAAACAATAAAAAAACCAATAAATTATAATAAAAATAGAACAATAAGGTGGCAACATGCCCATGACAAAAAGGCTGAACTACTCCGCGAGTTAGGGACATGAATAATTATCTTGTATCCCGTAACGATATTATTAGAGGAAAAAATATAACTAAACCTAGACTATGAAAAAACACGCTTAAAAAGTATCAAAGAAGAATATTTTGTTAGACGATAGCCGTGGTCATATGCTACATTGCTCTATAGTAATGGCATATGACCACAGGACTATCCTGTAAGAAAATTTTATTGTTTGATGCTTTTAGAGGTAAGCGTGTTTTTAATCAATTTTAGTTTCATCTTTTATTTCTATTATTTGGAGGTACATAATTATAAAATAACATCACGCCTTTTATCCCCGAAGAGTTAGGCAGAGGTGTACACTGTGCAGTAGCATAATGTAACACCCACTTTTCACTATTCATGTTATGAGTCCCATGTAATAGGGGGTGAGCCTATTGCCATATACCGGACACAATTCCAGTCTCCGTGCTGTTACTGAGATTTTTTTTAAAAACCCCAGTAAAACTTGGGGCAGAAGTACAAATCACTAAAATATACTATGGTAATCCAATTAAACCGTATACCACCAGCACCGTTTCAAACGAAATAATATCGTCAATCAAAAATTCCCACCACTAGACGACATGTTGTAAAGAATGCTAAGTTACTTGACAGGGTTCCGTTGTAAGATTTCTTATTCTTAACCTGTCTAATTCCTCAATTAATTTTACCTCTCGTAACCTATAAGAATATATATAATAAGGTGTAATATATAAGATGCTGTGAAACGTGTCGCGGGTTCGATTCCCACATTGTTCCTCTGGCTGTGATGTAATAAGTAAAAATTATGCATTTTAATATTCTGGGTGAATATTTTTATAGCTAGTTGAAAACGTTTTCAGCAGAATATGTTATTTGCTACATGGCTTACCGCCGTACTTAGAGTCATTTAATGGCTACTTAACCCAGTCTTTAGCAATTATTTTCGGAAGAAAATTATCACTAAGGAATAGATTAAGTAATCGTTAAATGTCTCTGAGTACGGTAGTAAATGCACAGTCAGCACAACTAATTATTACGCAGGTAAGTAAATAAAGATTGACTCAATACACAGACAAAAAGCGTATTGTATGTGGTCTAGTTGAAATAAATGCTTTAACTTTTATATCATGAGCACGTGCCAGTCTTCTTGACTTCGCCGTGCCCTCAGGGAAGTGATCGGCAACGGAGACCTCTCGCGTCCGGCTGGGATGCCGTCTCCTCCTTTTGCGAAGCGGTCGTGCTAGCTAAGGACGAGGCGGAGCGCATGAGGCAGCGAAGCGCTGCCACCTTACAACCCAGCCGTCGAGAAGGACCTTCCGGGCGTCGGGGATCTCGAGACCGTAAGCGCGGGCCTGCGGACGGCGAGCATTGGTGGCTCGCCGCCCGACCAGATCCAGACCCGAGTGTACGGCGTGTCGCGTTCCGCGCGCGTCTCAATGAGCCATCAGACCACCACGGATGGGGCCCTATAGAGCTGATGCCGATACAGAGTCGCGGAAAATCTAACGGGTTACCAGGGCCCCAGCTCGAATTCGCTATTCCTGCTTCGAACTGGAGCTCCAGTAACCCGTTTTGTCTTCTCGGCCCCGTATTGGGTATCAACATCTATCGTGATCTGAAGGCTTGAGGCGCGCGTGGAACTACTACAAATACTTGTGATCAAAACTTAAACCCACTCGCATGATTGAAGGTCACATAACGGGGTAGTTACCTAAAATAATATACACATCTCATTATATTTATAATTTTTATATTTTATCGCATTTTTGTCCCAATTTGCAAACGAATCTTTGATGGACATATTTAATATATGAATGGTAGCATTTAATGTTATCATAATCTGCATTGATTTCTGCAAACTGATACAAATTGTATGTAATGTACGTCAATTACTTAATCACTTATTAATCGCTGATAAATCGCACTTCGATTATATGATTACCTACATTTGTTTTATGGGAGGAAAATTTGTAGTGTTAATTTTGTTTTTTCCTGTAGCCTACGTGTGTCGTATTTAAGAATAGTATTTAGAAAGAGATTAAAATGATTGCAGAACTCGATAGTTTTCTTGGAATTTAAATTAGGTGTAGTTATTAAGATTTCTAAAATGATCACGAAATCTAGTTGGAATATAAAATAATCTTTTACAATACTTTCCTGTTACAAATGTCCTGTAGTTACAAATATTAAAGTGTGGGAGAGCTATGATTCGGTACGAATGGGCCGGATCGACCGGAGTGATACCACGGCCTCACAGAAAACCGGCGTGAAGCAACGCTTGCGTTGTGTTCCGTCGTGTGAGTGAGGTTATCGAAGGCCCGATTTCTCTCACCCATGAATCCCCAACATTCCTCAAATTCCTAATCCCCAAAAGGCCGGTAACGCACTTGTAACGCCTCTGGTGCTCCAGGTGACTATGGCTGATGCCGATCCGTCTGCTCGTACACCGGTACATCCCATAATAAAATGTTCACAATCCTGTATAATTTTAGAGTATTGATAGAGACTGCCTCGTTGGCCGAGTGGTCGCAAGTGCGACTGCCGGGCAAGGGATCTCGGGTTCGATTCCAGGGTCGGGCAAAGTATTATTAGATTTTTTAAAAAATCTCAGTAGTAGCACGGAGTCTGTAATTGTGCCCGGTATATGGCAATGGGCTCACTCCCTATTACATGGGACTCATAACATAATAGTGACAAGTGGGTGTTACATTGTACCGTTTCATGATGTGCACCTCTGCCTACCCCTTCGGGGATAAAAGGCGTGATGTATGTATGATAGAAGTTATAATAATGTTATGGCTATAGGTTTACCCCTTTCCCCTTTTACACGAACCTTTTCTATATTATGACTCTTGAAAAGTAGGTTTATATTTTATAATTTGCATCATTGTTTTACTCTTCGTTAAAAAGCGTGATAGAGATATATGACCAAAAAAATAAACTGTTTCAGTGTCTACGCAAACTTCATTTCATAAAACGATGTAGTTACATTATGTGAAATTACGTTATGCCTTTGTTTATTTTAGGATATTCTTAATTTAATATCATTTTAAACATTACGTTCGCGATAACTGTACTAATTTCATCGCGCGATGTAGATAAACTGTGGCTGATAACAATTAATGTGTTGTTTGCTGGTAATTATAATAAGAACATAATTTATTTTTATTTCAGTTACATTTGTTGCTAAGGAATAATTGAAGAAGTTAAGATTGGGAACAGACATATTACAAAACGTAAGGACTTATTTACAACTAGCTTTTACCCGCGGCTTCGCTCGTATCACAAAAGGATAAAAAGTAGCCTATGTGACATATACCAATACATACAGAGCCATCTATGCCAATACTTTTGTTTTCTCTCGGGAATATAAAATTTTTCTGGGATAAAAAGTACCCTATTATTTAATCCAGACTTCTAACTTTACGTCTGCAAAAAATCAAAGCAATCGCTTTTGTAGTTACGGCGTGAAATCGGAACAAACAAACAAACTCACTTTCCGATTTATAATATTATAGTAAGGATGGTTTATCCTTAGAGAGACAAGCAGGTAGACCTACAGCGAAATAAAAGAACATATCTTATTATAATAAAGTAATTAAAATAATTTTCAGGTGAATTTTCCACGAGTGCGCGGTCAAGTAAGATCCTTGTTAAGATAAACGTCGGGTGATCATAAATAAAAAATAATTTTACAAAACAGTTG